TCACTCATGTATATCCATGTACAAATGTAGTATAGAGTGCAGAGGATTTTTAACCATTCTGTTCCAGCACAAGACTAAGTAGAACTGAGCATCCTTGAGTGGCCTGTAGTTGACAATGTCTGAAAAATTGACTTTCATAATGACCAAGATTCTGCACTGTGGTTGTTGCAGTATACTGTAGGGCTATAACAGGCATATTGATTTTCTTTTTAGCCATTCACATTTAGGAACCCACCTAAGCTGCCGGCATCAGTAACTTAAATTGTCTGCTACTGAATCAAAATTACTGCGAAGCGTGCCAAATATGCTGCAGCCATCATCATATATCATCTTCACATTTTATCGCCATGTATAGTTTATGATAAGGGATAATTGGCTCAGCTGGCAAATATGTCAATGAAAATTGAGCATCTTCCATGCAAAGAAATTTGTACTGTTTTATCCAAGGTACATTGTTCAATATGCATGGAATGCTTAAAGTGTGCTGCATTTTGGATAAAGATGTTTATTATTTTGCCCCTAAGTGGCCTCCCTTCTGACAGTGAATGGATACTGCTCATTTGACCACCCCACTAGGCATTGTGAAATTGGCTCCAGTATTGAACATGGGAGTCCAAAATCATTAAAACAATGAGGAAGTGGAGTGCACGAGCCCCTCTCATGGCGAAACAATGAGGAACCCTGTGGTTGAAAGCCCCTTTCATCTATCAATTTTCTGAAGTCATGCAGAGATTTTGATAATATACAGTGGGCCATCACCCCAGTAGGTATTGAAAACATTGTGTCCCAAGAGTCACATTAATTTGACTCTTCCCTTTTTTGATGCATTCTTTGATAGCCTGTCATGTATAAAACATCTTTCATTCACAGTTCTGACATCAACTATTGATCTTTGATAAGTATAGATGCTGGCACAGAAAAATGTTACAAGAAGTCTTAACACTGTACAAAATTTGGAAACCTCTTTCCACAATAATACTGTTACCTGAATGCTTTCATCCCCTTTCTATATAGGAAACAGAGGTACCCTGTAACTGTAAATACTGTAACTGTAAATATTTCCTACTTGTGCAAAAACAAATCATTTTACTCTTGGAAACACACCATTGTAGATGTAGAATTGATTTGAATTTTTAATGCCTATTGTTCAATGTGCATGTAATACTGCTATCATGTGGGTATGCCTATTATGGTCCAGCTGTCCCAGTCTACTACCAAAGGAGAGCACTGCAAATCAAAACGACAAGCCACAAGAATAGCAACAAAATGTATGTCGAAAATGGCCAACTACAAATACTACATTGTAAGTGTCCTGTTTTTCCTCACAGACAGGCACTACTTGTTTTGTACAGTGTTGTATAACACACCTTGATTTGGACACCATCTGCTCTTTGTCTGAATCACAAGTATTTTGCAAAACAGACTGTCATCACAGTCCCCTTTAGTGTTCTGGACAGTGAAAAATCGACAGCTTTCATTCCAAGTGATGTTGCCTTTATTTCCCAAGGGAAAACCAGGCCTAAAGGTTACAGAAACAATTTATTGCTTGATAATATCACATCATAACTTGTCAGATGGTCACGATTAATGCTTCGTGACAGATGGAGGTTTGCAAAATGTAGAAATGTGAAATTTGTCATGAAATCTTCGACATGTGAATTGTATTTGGATTCACAGGGCATACATAGGGATTTTTGTGGCAAGCTTCCAGCAAGTAATTACCCTTGATTGTCTGAAGTTTGTCTGTCTGAAGTATTGATGTTTTGGACTTTTGATTGACAAATTCCGTGAGTTGGTAAAATATAATTGATGATAGCCTTGTGGGCAAAATAGTGAAGAAGAATATTCGAAAGGAGTATACATGTATGGCTTAAAAATGGGCCTGATGGTTTTATGGGTTTTAAGAGATAAGGTTGTGGTAAATGGTGAGTTTTTATTTTCAAAATGAATATGTCAATACAAGGTCTATACCAACCACATATCTCATGGAATAGCCACCACAAATAGGGAATTTATGGTTACCTCATTCACCGTCAACCATACAATCTATTTGCATGCACTGCAATTTAGACATCATGAAAGCAGCCATGTCAGTTTCTATTCTATTAGCAATTATGGCCTGGCATTTTGTGCATCCATAACCACATTACTTGATATATAGTGGCATTTCTGCCCTAATGATTTAGCAGTAACAACATGACCCAATGCCTAATTCAGATTGATAATGGTTAACACTGGTGGGTGATATATGATGTAGTGTTGTTGCTTTAAATTGTAGAATGCTGAACACTTTATTTTTAAGAATTGTAGACTATAATTCAAAAGCCAATCCAGTGTTCGAAATAACTGTCTGCAGTCTGCAATCTGCAGATAGATTTTCAAGATTGCAGAAGAAAAATTTATACAATCTGCAATTTTGCAGAAGGAAAAGTAGACTCCAGATTCAATAGTTTCTAATTTAGCAAACTAGCACTCTCAGGTCCCATCAAGGACAGACAACACTTGAGCTCCTGTTTCATTGTTCTGAAACAAGAGGAGCTTCTTAACTAATTTGCATCATCCTTGTCGTGACTTGTCTATCTTTTGTTTCCTTTTTGACTTCCAAAAATTTGTCTTCACTAATTTGCATATCAATCAACAGTTTTTGCTTATAAACCTACAGTTCTCCTTCAGTCTCTTAGTGTCACTGATGAAAGGTAGTAGTCGGACCGTTTTAGGTACAACCAAAATTATATACAGCTACTTGAGTAACTGTTGTTCTTTTTGTCTTTTATTAGTATGTTTTAGTATGTTTTTGCAGAAAGTATTTCCAAATTGCAGAACAAAATTTTGACTCTTCTGCAATATTGCAGAGCACTGAAAAAAAGTATTTCGACCACTGCAATCTAACATTGTGATGACTGCCATGATGATGATGATCTCTTGAGCCACACATAGTACTCTAGCCCATTTAGTGGAGCTCCTCCATGCTTACAAATGAACACTTACCGATATACATCAAGTTCTGTGGCTCTTTATCTGAACCTGTAGCATTGACCTGGCTCTCACGCGGTTGTATAGTCAAAAGGCAATCTATATTCCTCTCATGTCTATGCAGTGACTCAAAGAGCGTATCAGGAAATTGCAGGTCATTTCAAACGTCGGGACACTCTTCAAAATTCAGACCATGAAGTCAGCTCTTGTGCAATGCTTGTGAAGTGTTGTAGCTTGAACCATCAGCTGGCTGATCCAATATTGGTATATTCAATCCTGTCTGTGCCAAGATTCTTGCAAGGCCAAGGGCAAGGTTTTTGTAATAACTAGGAACTATTGTAATGCATTGCGGCTAAGCCCCTGACTTCATGTCATTTACCGAAATTCAGACTTCACAAGCAGACTGAAGCAGTGCATGAATGATGATTTTGTCCAACACAAGGGTGTGTCTGTGGTGCTGAAATAAATGCTGCTTTCTATGTAAGCTAGGAAGGATGTTAAAAAATCCTGTTACAAGTGGAGAAATTTCAGTGGCGACTCTATATGATAACTACCAGACTGAGTCTAAAATTGGTACATTTTCTTCTAGATGTCCGTTCATCATGATACAGTGTAATTGTTTTAACTGTGCATAAAAACCTCCCTCCAGGACAAAATGTGGCTGATTAGGCTTGGCCAAATATTTAGATTCAGTTCCTGTCCTTGTGTAGAAGAAATTGATCCAGAGTCAGATTCTGCTGTGCAGGTTTTCATCATTTAAACAAAGACCCCCTCATTTGTATTGATTTTGATTATGGAGTCTGTGAGGTCAGGGCTATTCATTTGGTTTTGCTTTAAGTGATTTGGTTGCATTCACTTCAAAGTCTGGTCTAGTTACTAGTAAGCGCACATGAAGTAGAAAAGAACAAACCCTGCTGTCTACCTTTCCCCCTGTGATCCTCATGGTCCATTCCCAAGTACAATATAGCGGACATGCATGTATGCACAGTGCGTATTCATATTGCCTCACCAAGGCCAAATTCATCATCCCAGCGAGCTGAGGGCAGGAGGGGGCATATCTGTTGGCACAGGGAGGACTTAGTGATATTGAACGGAAGTCTGCCTCCCTTTTTCCTCTCAGTAATGAGAAACCATATGGATTTTTATATTTTTATCATGGAAAACAGCCTGCAGTTTTCTATCACCTCAAGCAGTGTGTTAAGTTGAGGTATATTAAAAGCAATTTTGTGATGAGGAGAGATGAGTGTAATGCATTGTGATACAATACCCCAAGGCAAAGGCTTTAATGCATACTACTTTATGTATTTGTATTAAAGGAGTACTAACCTCCAGAAGGGGGTGCTATATTTCGACAGGCATTTATTTTTGGAAGTGAAAAATGCATATTATTTTACAGTATACAATTAAATGCCCATTTTGCGCGCAAGTCTTAAAACGCATCGAATCCAGGACAAACTCTCCAAATACCCTCAAAACTATCCCAGAATACACCACGCTACCCTATTGGTGTCTATGCTTTAAACAAAAAGTTACGTTACAGACCTCATTTCGGGGGCGATAAGAAAAATTCGTACCGTTTTGTGTTCTTTGGTATCTTACCAACCATTGTCCTTTTTGGTGTCCTTATCGCCCCTTATTTATGCCGCAAATATTGACGATGAAAAAAACGGCGTAATCTAGTTATCCTTTCCATAAGTGGCGTAATCTAATTACCTGTTCAAGTAATACTTACATGCAAATAAGTTAATAAATCAAAACACGCAGGATGAAACTGGCTACCACTGTATTCGACATCCTGATATTATAATATCCAAGCCACAGGTCAAGCAAAGTAAAGCAAGTAATTTCTCAATAATCAGCGTATTAGTGTGCTTGTTTCCTACCATTTTCGCCGAAAAATTTGTATGTTGACCTGAAGTGTATGAGTATTGCGCAAGCCAGAGTTCCTGGATGTATCAATTGTGGTTCAGCATGGGGAAAAATGATATTAATATCACTTTACAAACATGCGCCGCGCAAGTCGTACAAGCAAAATTACGTAAAAAGTCGGCTAGTTATGTATTCATTGCAGCATGATGTATCGGAAAATAGCACTTCCTTCTGGAGGTTAGTACTCCTTTAAAAGCCTATATAGTAAGCTCTTGATTTACCAGGCATAGCTCCTATAGAGTATTTTAGACATTTCTTTGCAAAACATTTTCATAACAATTATAATGCTTGAATTCCTGTTTGATTATTTCATAAGCTGTTAGTTTGGAAAGACCCAGTCTTCTTTGCTTCATGTTGAGACATCAGAACCTGCATAACAACATAGCAATGATTTTGCAAACTGCTTTGGATGTTTGACCCCTGTCGAACTTTGGACCCTCCACATTGATATAACAGTAGTTTTTGTGTACCGAGGTAACCAATGATGACCAACATTTCTTTTCGTTTCAGTGAGCTGAGAGAACAGATTAAACCTGAAATCATCAACCTGGTCAAACAACAGGTGAGTTATTGTCTTAGCCTATGTCCTATTTTTACACAGCATGCTTGAAGGAAATTACAAATTGTTACTGTGTGTCTGATTCCAAAAACATAAATACATAATTTACATTTTTCTTCTTGTCGCAGAGACTGAATTATCTGGTGGAAGGGACACTGTTTAACAAGTTCACCAATAGAAGAGTCAAAGGTATGTGGAAAGGACACACTGTTTCTCACTTTTCTCATAATTTTATCCACCACAGATTTGAATCAAATACATGTATTTGGTTTAGTCTTGTTTCTCTAAGGCACTTTTCTATATGTTTAGAGAAACACAAAATGAAACACAAAGGAATACTGCTGCATACAGAGGCACAGTCATACTTGCAAAGAGCAAGAAATTGTGCCTTGCTTTACATGCTGAAGAATGTAACGTTACATGTAAGGGTACCGACCAAGTGGCTGGATTGATTGATTGGTTTATGCACTTCCCCTGCAGACAAGTTTTGGTACTGCAGACTCTCTCCCAACCACAAGGTTCTCCACTATGGGGATGCGGAGGAGAACTCCAACCCTCCAATAGAAATGCTTCCAGAAAAGAGTAAGCCCTTTTTTCTCATGTTATACATTGTAACCCTATATGTAATACATATACATTTGTACAATTATGTTTGACATATTTATGTTCCTTTGCTTGATGCAGATGCACATGAATATTACTAGTATAGAGATGGGAAAAGCTTTAATGTTGAACAGAAATGATTCATACTTAAAACATACATAAAAAACTCAGAATATATGTTTTTTTTCTTTAGTCCCTATTTCAGAGATCAAGGGCATTGTCACAGGGAAGGACTGTCCTCACATGAAGGACTTCAGAAGAGCCAAGGTTAGTAACATTTTTGCAGTCTAAAGGCACATAACATTAGCTGTAGTACAGATGTTTTTAGAAGTCAACAGAAATCGTCACATTTGCAACATCATCTATGGAAATGAATTGATGGTAATACCCGGTACATGGTTTCTTGTGTGACCATTATTTATTCTAGTACACAAAGATGAGATGATATCTGTGTTCCAGTATTTTCCTGCCTTATTTGTGTTTTTGATCTTGCCACCTTCTCCCTGATACAGGGTGTGACTACTCTGGCCTTCGCTGTCCTGTATGACCCTGACCAGTCTTTGGATTTCGTGGCACCCAATGAGACACTTGTGAGTATAGTAAATGATGTACACAGACATTCTGTGTACTGTTCTCTATTCTGGATGTGAATTTCACAATTCATGGTGGTTTACTGGATCTATCACTTCATGTATATCTAACATTGATGCAAGTATTATTTATGTTTCAGTATTCCATTTGGACTGATGGGATAAATGCTTTGCTGGATAAAGAGGTACTTTTTTTAAATCAATCTACCAGCTTTACACATATTCTTTAATGGGATACACTCTCAGGTAATATATACAATCATGTAATATAGATGAATAATTCCAACATCCAAGGAAGCAATAGACTTGATATAAGATTACAGGGGTACATAACTTTGTGCTATTTCCGATGACCTTCTCTGTACAGCTGTGATGATCTTGCCATGCCTGGAATGGTATTGGATAATTGTTCTTTTAAGGTCTTCTATTCTAAGACCACATTAAACAAAGCTCATCCTTGCATTCAATTATTAGTTTCTTTTCCTGTAACGTCATGAGACTTGTTGACTTCAATGCTGTATGATTTGTGTTACCTTCCACAGATGGTGAGTGAAGAGATGAAGAACGATGTGGAAACCCTGCTCAGTATGGACATGAAGCTACGTCTGCTGGACACAGAGAACGTCCCCATCCCTGACAAACCCCCTGACATGCCTCCAGACCCCCCTAACTTCGACTTCTGCTATGACTTCAGCTGAACCTCTTCCAGGCATCACTTTACACGTACCATAGTTAGGTATTTTCATTTCTTTACTACTGTATATTAAACATTCATTTAGTTCTGTAATGATTCAAAACAAATCTTGATTAAAGTTGGTTATCATTTTCTGTAACAGTGTACCATACATGTAGGTTAATATGAATTTATGTAAATAGTTTTTAAGATATGATAATTCAGATTGTAAATTGTTTAATGACGATTCATTCCAACTTATACATGTAAGTTAAATTAGTCATTTAGCCTTAAACGCTGAAAGGAATGATACTGAGAACTTTGGAACTTAAAAAAGTTTATAACAAACTATTTTCACCCAGGTTTGAAAGAACTCCACTGTATGTTGCAAACTAACAGATGATGCTGGCTGTGTGTCATTTTTGATACAGTTGTTCTGGATATGGTTAACTTTTCTTGCTACTATGTGGGAGTCCCATGAAGTTGCCCTGTAAGCATTCCACATGTTATAATGTGTCACACTTCTCAAAACGACATGTATTGAATTGTACATGTCACTGCTGTCCAGTATCTATATTGTGGTTATTCCATTACTTGTCATTGAGAAATTTTATTATGAAACATCAACTGGTATTACTTGTACTGGCCCTAAGAGTGCAAAGTTGCATCTCATTTTAAAACCTATAGCTACCACTCGATCTGGTTCACATTTTTTTCTTAATTTGTAGAGGGAGAAGAAAAATATTTCACATTCAAACAGACCCAGGAAGTCTCATCATGTGGAACAAAATGTTGTGCCAAAACTTGTGGTCTCCAAACCTGTGAAAAGCATGTGTTTCTACAGTTGTTGAAACTAAAGTACTGACACGTGATTTGCAGTGATGTACTTTTTAACAGCAAGTATGGTAATATTCATGGGAGTACAGTATGTGTGTATTCGTTCATCTGGCTAGTAAGGATGTTTGCTCTTATAATGATGTTGGTTAGCACTAAGATGTAATATTCTGTCTGAATTGACAGGAATGTCTGTAATTTTGCTACATGTAGGCTATGCATAATTCTTACATGTAATATCAGTAAATACAGTGAAGGGTAAGTAGTACTCCTACATTAGGAATATTGACTTGGGGGAATAGGATTCTGTAATCATGCTGTTTCTGTAAAGTATTTGTGAATGTTGTTTCATAAAGAAGACAAATACAAGTGGAAGTAAGCAGTCCTAACGTTGATCACATATATACGTGTAGGATACTCAAGCAAAACAGTATAATATTCCGAAATAATGATTAACATGGTGAAAGCTACATGTATTTTAATTATTTTGTGAGGATGATATGCATTACCATTGTTGCTTAACATGTCAGGAAAGCTCTATCTTTTATGCACATCAATAAAATACTTTTATTCTAGTGTCAGACATTGCCCAAAGTATTTTATTACATGTAATAAGTCTTCATGTCTTCATAATGAACAAACATTTGAAAACAGATTGGGATCTAACTTTTTTCTTACCAAAACAATAGTTTAATGTCACGGTGATACTCCTATATGACTATGATACTCTGGCAAGATTACATCCGTCTATAACATGCTTTAAATATCTACTGGGCAGAAAACGAGTCATATACTAATAATATAAGTCTGTATAGTATGTGATGCACTATAGACCCAGAGTCCCGAGAGGCTTGTTGAAGGTTGGCTTGTACATGCCCTGGACTGTGATCACCAGCTTCCTGCCACCTGGGAGGGAGGGAAGAGATGGAAGGTGTTTTTGGACGGTACTCTCCAACCGCAGAGGTTTGTGCTTTGGCTTATTTCTACTTGGGGGGAAAAGGATTCTGTAGTCATGCTGTGTCTGTAATTTTTTTGTGACTGAATTTTGTTTCATAAAGAAAGCAAATACATGTACAAGAGAAAGTTTACTAAGCAGTCGTTACCACTTTTTACCTACATGAAAAATGGAGGTATTGTTTTTGGCGCGTCTGTGTGTGTGTGTGTTTCTGCACATTTGTAGTCAGTATAACTTCAAAATGCCTTTATGGATTGTGATGATATTTTTTATGTGTTTTAAGGCATTTTTCTTGGGCTTTCTTTCTTTGTACTGGTCACACAGAAAAGATTCCAGTATGCGCAGATGCCTTGTCCATGCCCATTGTTGAGGATCCCACTAGTGATGGGCGGGGATGACCGTTACTGGCTCAATTGATGGCACACACGCATATGCTGATGTATCGTCTGCGTACATGGTGGGGGTGGTTTCTGTCACGGTAAGTGGCAAGCTGTTAGTAAAGACCGTAAAAAAGCAACAGCCCAAGGCAACTCCCTTTGGGAACGCCACAATGTATCTCCTTGAACGTTGAAGGTAGAGTTTGTGCCGTTGAAATGTACACATTGTTCCCTCCCTGCCAAATAACTACTAGTACCCATCCATTCAACCGCTGTATCTGAGAAACTGTAACATGTTAGTTTTTGTAGCAAATGGCTGTGATCCACCAAGTCAAAAACAACGGAGAAGTCTAGAAAGATAACCCCGACTATGTTCTCCTGGTCGATTTTACAGTACCAATCATCATCTACTTGCAAGAGTGCAGTGCCAGTTGAGTGATGTTTTCTGAAAGCATGTTGGTAAGGTGACATCAGGGCATTCAGGTGGAAATATTCTGATATTTGAGTACTTACAACTTTCTCCATAACTTTACTAAAAAAGGCTAGGCAGGAGGCCTACTGTTCGGCCTGGGCAGTGGAACAACCTTAGCTTTTACCTCCATGAAAATGGAGGTATTGTTTTTGGCGTGTCTGTCTGTACATGTATGTATGTATGTATGTGTGTGTGTCTGTCTGTCTGTCTGTCTGTGTTTCCGCAACTTTGTGGTCAGCATAACTTCAGAACGCCTTTATGGATTATGATGATATTTGGTATGTTAGTTAGTCTTAGGAAGACAAACGTCAAGGTCAAATATGGGCCTCCTGGTGGATGACCTTGGTACTGCAGCAGAACTTCCGGTTTTTGTATCTTTTGTCCTGAACATGCTATGGTCTTGATGTTTTGGTGACAGATTGCTTTTCCTGTCAGGAATAAGTGGTGTGAGTTTGGTCCCCCTAGCAGCTTGTTTTGGAACTGCAGGGCACTTTCTGGCGAAATGTTTAAAAGCCAATAAGTCCAGACAGGAACAACATATTTTCATAATTTTTGGTGTGTAGGTAGCTAAGAGAGAGATGTACATGATTAAATGCAAATTATGCAAATGAGGACTTTATTTGCATAATTAATGAGGAAATTCTATGATTACAGTGTTTTACATTATACTACTTTCATACATGTAATGTATGTAACCTATGGCAGGCAGAACATCAACAGATACTAATTATGCAAATTATGACCTAATTTGCTTAATTTATGCAAAAATTCTATGATTTCTTAATGGTGAATAATGGGAATGTCATACTTTGGACATCTGTAAGTTAATCAAAAGTTAACATACATCACGATGCATATATCATGTAAATGCGGAGGTAATTTGCATAATTAAAGAGGAAATTTACAT